CAGCAGAAAGGAAGCAGTGGGAGAGGAAGGAAACACAAATAGAAGATAGGACAAGTCTCGTTATACTGGGCACCTTTTGGACTTGCTTATGTTTGGGGGAATTTGAAGTGCAATTTCCTGTGTTGCTCACAAGTGCATTCTCCTAAATGAAATGTGTAAATTAACACAAAACGCATAACATTTCAAATGTTGGAGGTTTACAACGACTCAAGGCATGTAGAAATTCCTTTTTTGCATCTGTGGTGAAAAATAAATGTTGTCCGTCATCCATAGTTTTGCTGGATAGATAGATAATAATATCATTAGTGAGAATTATTCAGCCATGTTAATCATTTACTGAATATCTGATATTGTAAAGGCCCTTATTTCAATATAAAAGTCCTAGTGCTATGATGAAACATCATCATCATCTTCATCATCAACAGTGTGCTGTGTGCACTTTACTGACTTTACACATCAGACTCTGTTTACAGGTGTTGAGGAGTACTACTGAAAACGTGTTATGAAGGCTTTTGTCCAGAGGGAGGTGCAGAATTGAAATATAGTTTTAAGAAAGGAAACTGTGGCTGAGGCTGAAGAAGTTTAAGAATGAAAAAAAAGAAATCTGTTAGTGTAGAGTTTGAAAAAGTTAGTTTAACAGACCTCATCTCTGCTTGAGACTTTCTCTGCTTGAAAGCTATTTCATGTGTTAGGTATTCAAAACAAAAGTTGTCACATTTCCTGTAAAACACAAAAAGGCCCCTCAGTTTCTGTGATACACAGTGTGAGGGGACTTCTCCAGGGAGAGGTGGCCGACTGCTGTGTGAGATAACAAACGTTCGTGACAGCTTGTGGGACAGGAAGCAAACATGTGAGCGTGTATCTGATGTCTATTAACCGCCCGCCTGCCTCCTCAGCCAGCTCACCACTCCAGAGGCATGCGGTGTACGGCCGGTGCTTACTCCAACATAAATAAAGTCTCTGATCCTTCTCTGGATGAAGAATCTTTTATAAAAACGGGATCCTTTGCGGTCGGTGAAGGGGCAACAGTGGTAAACCAAAGGGCCGCAAGTGGATGTATGGGACTGATTAGGAGCCTGGAAATGAGATTAAAGAGAGATCTAGCAACAGATTGAATTGTATTTGCCATAATTGCTGAGAACAGCTTATTCAGTGCAGACCGCAGAAAAGAGAATCATAAAACCAAGGAAGGAAGGAGGAGGGAGGAGGGAGGAGATGAGGGAGGGCTGCCACTTGAAACCAACAAGCTTTTCTGAATAAATCAAACCCAGGACAAGTCTTGTATCAATTAGAGTGTGCGCATGTGGTGTTTGTGTGAACAGAGGATTGTAAAAGGGATACAGTTCTCCTTTGGGCTTTTATTACTGATTTCTTTCTGTAGTATTAGTAATCTTGATTATTTTCAGGCCAATTTAACCACACAGTGCTTTCTTTGAATGGAAAATCCCCCTGTGCCGACTGTGTATGCAGAGAATGTATCTGAAATGAGATAACTGAAATAGGCCTGACCTCAGTTCTCATCATCACATTGGAAAGAGCTTTAATGAAAAATAAATCTTGTGATGAGAAAAAAAGACTAACAGAGAAATCAATAGAGGCACAGGCTCAGAGATAAAAGTGAGCGCCATGTGCCAGAGAGCTACTCACTCTCATTCCTGGGTTGATTGTACTTAGAGTGAAACCACATGAACCGAGCGCTTCTCACAAGGGGAGAAAAGGCGTGTGGAGCTAACCGCAAACATTTACTGTACCGCTTAAAGCCCCTGAACACTTGGTATTTCTCTGTCACATCAAATATTCATAACACGGAACATTCAATATTCAATGAGCATCAAGTGCAGAAAAACAAACCCCACACAATGCTTCATCAGGTTGAGTGGGTGATCAGATTTGATTGACAGTCCGGAAAACAAATGCTAGCGCTAAAATATTCTACTAAACACAAAAATCAACTGAGGCTGATTGAGAGGTCAGATTTACATGATTTACATTTTACACTTATATTCAATTTCATATTTGATATTCCATTCCTTACTCACTAAATGTATATATATATATAATATCCTGCTTTATATTTTGTTATTGTAAATTTGTATCTCAACATGTATATTTTCTACTTTTTTTAAATGCTATTTTATTTCTATTGTTTAGATGTTTACATTTTGGATTGTTTATTTCTAGGCTTTTAATTTCTCTAATGTACAATGCCTTGTCTTTTTATGCTGCTGCAACGCAAACATTCCCCAAATTGGGATCAATAAAACACTTCTTATCTTATCTTACATCAGGTATTTTCATCAGTGTAGAAAAAAGTGTAGGACCAATTGATGATTTGACCAGATGGTGGTGCTTAAGGAAAAGCCACTGAAGGCATTAAAATGCGCAGCGTGGGAACCATGAATGTCTGTACTAAATGTGCCACCCCATTGAATAGAAATTGATCTTATTGAAAGTAGTAAAACATTTGCTTGTTGGTGGCACTAGGGATCAGGAAGTCACCAGAGTCAGAAGGATTCATCCTTTGGGGAGCATGAATATACGTACAAACATTCATGGCAATTCATCAAACATTTGTCGAGGTATTTCAGTCTGGACTCAAAAATGCTTGAAGTTTTTTAATGACAAAACACACTGAACAAAAAAGTAGTTTCTATGTTAGGCACTTTTATTGATTTTGTATTACTGATTCACAAAACACAAGAATTATTGTCAACCTATTAAAACAGATTGGAGTACAGTGAATTTATTCAGAGATTTACATTGATTGAATTTAAATAGACTATGTTAACAGTAGAGGGAATACAGTAAGTATTAATCCTAACATCTGCATAACAAAATGCAAAAGGTATTTTCTAAACTATCTGTTGGTTTAAACAGAAATTTTGGCCAAAATATAAAAAAAGAGAGCGAGAATTATTAGTTGGTAGTGTTTTAACTGAGAGGTAAAGACAGGAGTGCTTACAAAAACTAACCGTTAAGGTGTTTGTCTATCCACATAAATAAAGGGAACTCGTCACAACGCGTCCGACAGTAACGCGTTTCGTGCCGTTCTACTTCCAGACCTGCTGAATATCAGAATTGTCACACTGTAGTACAGTAATTAGAGTAGTACAAAGCTATGAAAAATATATCAGTGTAAAGGCATAAGAGACTCGCTCAACAATCACAACACCACTACACGACACCATCAAGATTCACACAGAGCTGCTCAGGGGTACGCAGAGTTGCTCTAGACGAGTTCACCGCTTCAGAAATCACAATTTTTATCAAGCTGAGACATTTGCTGTCTTTGGAAAGTAGTTTTGTGTACAACCAATAATGCAAATCAACAGCTATTAGTCATTTTAACTCTGAAAATGTAGAGTAGCAATTCACAGTTCAAATTCTATTCTGACATTTCCCAATGTAATGCAGATATCACAGCATCCAACAACAACAGCTGCCTACCCCTGGGCCACACTGACTATTACAATTTCTATCAACTTGGCCTGCCAAGTCTCTCCACTAGAGGACACTCTGGTTCCAACAAAAGGACGACGTGCCAATGCAAACTGTAGGACACAGCAAGAGATCTCCTCTCTATGAGTCAAATCCAACACAAAGCATGTCCAGACTGAATAAAGCAGACTGTATGCGTGACCTGACTCCCAAATCCGTCACATAACTATATCTGCCATTAAACAAAATGGCGAGTAGTTTTAGATTAAGGTCTTTGGATTTTTTCTGAAAGATTGTCTGCTAGTTTGGACCTGGTGGAGATGATAACCACCAACAATATGAACAAAGAAAGAAGCAAATGTCGCAAGAACAAGCTGACATGAACAAGGTCAAAGGCACAATGAGTAGGTTTTAGAAGAAACTATGTATAGAATGTATATTTGTGGCATGTCTGTAACTGCAGACACTGCAGCCCTCTGCCTGTTTTAAACCTGTACTGTATATCAATCTCTATAAAAAATGAATCGATAAAAGTGCAAGATTGTAAGCACTGGCTAAAGAGAAAGCTACAAGAATGGTGGACACGGCACCAAAAGAAAAACCAAATATAGCAAGGTGAGATGTCAAGCAGACAAAGCTCGTTTCAAAATGAGATTGAATCTGGAGTTGACTTTCAACTGCTGATGTTCATTTAGTTGTGTTTACCATTGGCAACTAACACAACTACTCATTGTGCCTTTTAAAGAATAGGTTCACATTGTTTCAAGTCTGCCTTTAAACAATACTTGTGCACTGACAGTTATTTGTTTCTTCCTCTCTACAACAGGTATACAGGGGTCACCTGATACTGCTGTTTGAATGTAAGACAGAGGGGACAAATTCCACTCTGTGAAGTCAAATCAAGTAGCTACCTTCTAAAAAAACAGAGATGTTTTTGCAAAATGTACTCGTTTTGTTGTGATGTCCCTACAGTTCAGCAAGGAAACACAAAAAGGAATTTGTTCACTACTTTTTAGTGTCCTTACGAACAGAAAGAACAATTATAGCAAGCAACATCTATGTCAGTGTTCAGACTTGACACCCTGTGAACCTACCCTGAAGATGTTAGCAAACAGAAAGAAGAAAGGTTTGCAGGTCTCCCTTGAAAAAGAGATCTATGATCTCAATGGGACCATCTGGTTAAATAAAGGTTGAAAACAAATGAAATGAGAAAACACAGATGTACCGTATGAGAGCTGACTGTCCGGAGGGAATGTGAAAAGTGGTCTTTGAGATCGTGTCCATTTTACATTTCAGAGTGAGTAATCTAAGAATGGGACCTACATTTGAACTAACGCTGCATAGCACTGAATATAAAGCTTGATATAAATGCATAGGTGTGTATTATAATTTATCATAGATCTGACAGAATTGTATGAAATCTCATTTTCACATACTGTAATGATCAATGCGAGTCAGCTCTATACAGCTCTATCTATTTTTGCTTAGTTTTCTGAGTTTCTACTGGAGTTAAAAATCAACCTCTGTATCTACATCGGTATCTAAAATCTACAGTTATTCACTTTTACCCTAAAAATGTAGATTTGGGAACCAAAGAGGGGATACCACAAAACATTGCCTGTTTGGAGAAATTGTGCCGGATGACAAACACATAGTCGCATACACACACACACACACACACACACACACACACTCACACACACACACTGGGCACCCACAGGGGCCACAGCAGGGGGCTCAGCAGAGGAAGAGGATGGGAGAATGATGGTTTTGAGTCCGAAGGCAGCGTTTTGTTTCGACGGAGGAAGCTTTAACACACAAACTCCTGTCTCATGCGGATGATCTGTAGTAAGGCGGCCTGGACGTCTTCATCCATGTGGCCCTGCGTGGAAAAAAGAGCCAGAAAAGAGCTTCAGCTGATCAATCTGCACGGATATTTCCCTCTGTAAGCTCTGTTGTCAATTACGCTTCAGCTCCTGAGAGACACGGTGCACTCACACATTAACATAATGGAATACATTGGGCTGAGTACATATCGTGTTGTGCAGCCTTTTTGAGGTTCCCTGTTTTGATGGACCATTAGCGTTATTATCACATGTTCCCCAATCCATTTTCAAATGATCAGCAGGCTTTCACAACATTTCACCGAGTGTAAACAGATAAAGTACCCCCTGCTTTTGGATTTTGACGCATCTCTAAAAGTTAGTTATGACAAACACACAATCATGATTTAATAAAACCGGCAGGGTTTCAAATACATTTCTTTCGGTTTGTCACACAAGCCTTTAATTATCTGTTTCTCCTCAATAATGATGACTGCATGCTAACTACAGTCATGCAGATGCTGTTGTGGCAGCTCCCAATTACTTTCTGTTTCCATAAGGATGTTATGACGACGAGTAACACAATAATAACATCTGTGAAGGGAGGTTTGCTTAATTCAATCAGAAAAGTGTTGCAGGGAATGGCCATGGATCTACACCGTGCGGGTTACAGCTAAATGTATGATTCTACCTTCTATGAAATCAAGTCCTTTTTTTAATTAAAATCATTAATTGTAATCCTCATTTTCTGTTCACAATGAAATGTGCCCTTCAGTAAAGGTGATGAGATGAACTTACCTGTGCTGCACTGAGAAGATGCGTCCTATAAATGGAAACCACCTCCCTGTGTTGCCTCTCAGCATCCTAATGGAGCAGAGGAGAAAGACAAGAAGACAACACAGTGGTTATTGTTAGCAACAAATGCACAGTGGTGCTAATACTGACCTGGTGCAGTCACTGAATTTCACATTATTATATATGTTACACCCAACTGTTAGGATAACAACTGCAATTTTTATTTAGTCATGATGTTTGCTGGGAAAAGAATCAGTAACTGAGATGTTGACTTCTTGTTTTCCCTGTATTTATTAACTAAAGGGGATATACTGTACATGGTGCGATCACTATTATGAATGAGTCACTTAGTATGTCTATGCTCCTGTAGTATTTTGGATTTATGAGAACATTTTTATCATCCAGAATATTTTACATTGTTTATATTTGACATACTATTTTTCATTTAAATATTATTTGTAATTGTTCATTCTCTATTGCATTTTCAGCATTTTAATTGTAATGTTGAACACACTGCTTCTGTAACTAAAGAGTTTCCCAAATGTGGATATATCAAGTAGAATAGAATCCTTTATTGTCATTATATAGGTACAATGCAAAATAAAAGTATATCTATCTATCTACTTATGGTTGTTTTTAAAGCAAGGTCCCTACCTTTCTTAAACAGCACATTTACTAAATGTCTGGGCCCAATTCACTTATTACTCGTGGTTTAAAGTAGATAACACAAGGAGAGTTGCTGTGCAGTTTATCCAATGAAATAAAAAGGAGAATATGTCAATGTTAACATGACTTCCATATGTCCACTCACAGCCAGCTGTTGCTGCAGGTTCTTGATCTGGGCGTGGAGTGTGTCGATGTGCTGCGTCTGCCTCTTGTTGGGCGCGTTGCTTGTGATTGCCAGCTGGGACAGACCGTTCAGCGCCTGCTTCAACCGCTCAACATCTGTCAGCAACTCTGTGATCTGACACAAATATTACAACGTTACTTTATGAACCCTTGACAAAACTGAAAGAAGAGTTATATGCCTAGAAAAAAGAAACAAGCCAGATTTTCTTTCAAAGCAACCTGTTTTCTATCTACAGTACAGTATAGTACATTCAACTTGTTAAACACACATAATGCCAGCAAAAAACGTATAACAAAAATAAAACTATGACAGGTGTTTACTACCTTCCTGTCTTTGGCTTCAGTCTGCTGCGCTGACGTCTGTATCCTCTTCTTTAGATCACAGATGGTGCCGAGCGACTCGTCGTATCGCTCCTTCAGCTCCCTCACTTCCCTCTCGATGGCGCGTCCCTTCTCCTGGACCTCCTCCATCTCTGTGCGGGCCCTGCCCTCCCCCTCCCTGGCGTGCTGGGCCTCCCTGCGCGCCTCGTCTCCCCCCTCTGTGGAGCTCAGTAGTTTGCTGCTCAGGGCGTTGGCCTGCTCCTCCAGCTGCTGCTTCTCCTTCTTCAGCTGGTTTATTTGGTCTTCTTTGTAGCGGTGATTCTCCAGAGCCTGTGTGGCCTGCAGGAGCTCAGATTGCAGGGCAGACACATCTTCGGCTCTCTGGGCGTTGTTCTCCTCCTCTTCGCGGAGAGCCAATCGAAGCTGGGCGACCTCGGCCTGCAGGGCGTCCTGGGCCTCGGCTTGATGATGCAGCAGAGACGCTTGATCCCCGCGGCGTTCCTGAACCTCTCTCTGTAAGGCGCCCACCCTCTGGGCCTCCTCCTGCTGAGCCTCTCTGGCTTTCTTGCAGTCGGCCTGTGCTTGCTGCATGGCGTCATGGAGGGCTTTAAGCTCCGTGTCGTATGTTGCTATCCGAGTTAACTCTGCTTTCAGACGCTCCTGGAGGGTCTGGATCTGAGCCTTGCTCAGGGCCTTCTGCTCTTGAAGATCAGCCTTCTGAAGCGTTGCCTCCTTGTGCTGCTGCTCCAAGCTGGCCAACTTCTGAGTTAATTCCTCAATTTTACCCTTGAACTCTTTCTCCACATTCTTGTGCTTTTCACTGGCAGAGTCTAGTCTCTGTTGGACAGATTCACTGTCAACCTTTAGTTTGTCTTTCTCCTGTTGGTTGCCCTCATTGACAGACCTCTCTTTGTTATACTTCTCTTCTATTTCCAACAGCTTCACTGTCAACTCCTTCACCTTGGCACTGTGAGAGTGTTCCTTCTCCTCCGCCGCCGTCAGTGGGATGAACTTTGACAGAATAGCCTCCTGAATGGTATCGAGTTCTTTCTTCTGCGCCTCCAGTTCTTGGGTGAGCTTGATGGTTTCCTCCTGAGCGGACACATACCTCCCTGACACTTCGTTAGCTTTGTTCTCTGCCTCCACAATTGCAGCATTCAGCTTGTCTGCGATAGCTTTGTGCTCTTTTACACTTATATATTCTTTTTTCATCTCCAACAGGGCTTTGTCCAACTTTTCTGTCGACTTATCGTTTCCTTCTTTCATATTCTTTAATTCTTCTGCACTTTCTTTTCCCTTGGTCTCCAACTTCAATATCTCAGCTTTGGCTCTCTCCAAGGTGGAGCTCAACTCCATCTTCACTTGCTCGTGCTGCTGCCTGGGAACGTACTCTCCCTCCAAGCTCTGTTTCAGAGTCTGGCTCTGCGTGCTCAGCTGCACACACTCTTTATCTCTGTCTTCACATCTGCTCTGCAAAGCTTCAAGTTTCTTCATCATGTCGGCATTCTGAGACCTCAGAGCGTCCATCTCACCTTGGTGTCTCTCGCTGGCGCTCTGCACACTGCTCACGGTCTCCTGCAGCGCTATCCTCTCGCTCTCAAGCTGCTGGACTTGCGCCTCTGCTTTTCCGTAACGTTCGCTGGCTTCTACCAGTTTGTCCTCTAACTCCTCCAAAGCTGTCACCATGTTCCCCCGGGCTTCATCGTGCATCGTCATGGGTACGAAGTCGCTCTCCATCCTGCTGTTGAGCTCGTCCAGCTGCTCTCGTAGTATATCTCTCTCCTCCTCACTCTCCTCCACCTCCTGAATGAGAGACTGGCTCCTGGTGGTCACGTCCACCAGTTTCCTTTTCAGAGAAGCATTCTGCTCTTCGAGAGCCTTCAGGATCCTCTGCTGCTCCTCAGAAGCCCCCGCTCCTCCCTGGGATGAGGGAATGTCCAGCTTTCGGTGGAGCTCTGCCACTTCCTCCAGCACGCGATCGTAGTCCTCCCTCAGCTCGGCGATCTGCCGTTCCTTCTCGTCGACTGCGTTGCTCAGCAGGTTCTTCATGTTGTCAAACTTCTCAGCTGGTACCGTGTGGCCCTGTTTAGCCAGGGTCTCCTTCAAATTGGTTTCCATTTCTAAAAAGGCTTCTGCTAGTTCATCTCTTTCTGCAGTCAGCGCCTGCAGATCTTGGTTCAGACTTTCTGCCTCTGTTGCCAGCTGGTTCTCGCTGCTCTTGTACTCCTCCAAGGCCTTCTCGCTCTGTTTCAGGCGATTACGAATGCGACCCACTTCGGCGGAAGCTCCTTCATACTTGGCCTTGATGTCCTGGAGCTGGGCGCGCAACTCTTCGGCCCCCTGGCCCCCCAGGTGTTCCTTAACAGCGACTACATGGGCCTGCAGCTGTTTGACCTTACACTCAGAGTCCAGCATCCTCTTCTGGACGTCGCCCAGGGCGTCCTCCAGCTCTTGGACCTGCTGGTCGGCCTGTTTCTGGATGGTGTCTCGGCTCTGGACCAGCTCCTGGCACTCTCGGTTTTTACGGTTCAGGGCGGATTGAAGCCGTGCCGCATCTTCATCCGAAGCATGCTTTCTTTTCTTGACCTCATCAAGTTCTTGTAGGAGTGCGTCCAGTTCCCCAGAGACTGCCCAGCCCACAGTGGACGGACCCTTCTCTGAAGATCTGGAAAGCGAACGCGCCATGGAAGGATTCTTGAGCATCTGCAGAGAAAGATGAAATGCATATTAAATCAGCATTAATAGTCATTTTTATTTAAGCCCCTTCATTCAAAAGTTAAAAAGGTTCCTCAGCTTTCTTTGCCTTCTTAGTTGTAATTCTCTAATGAGGATCTGAACAATCTATAAGCAGTTTAATTTGTATGCAGGTCCTAACTCAACACTGCATTTTAAGCGTTTGAAAGCCATGTGGAACTGTTCCACAGATAAAAACGTACCTGATCAGAATCCAGGCTGTGAGCTTGTTTCACCAAAATGTTTTCTTTACCTGAAAGACAACAGGGTACAACATTCAAACCTCCTCATACTCTGCAGCTGAACGTTGAAATAATCTTAACAAATGTTTCTCAATGATTCACGAAAAATCAAAGGAGCTTACCTTTGATGACAGACTGTCCAGAGTAATCTCCCTGTGAAAACAAACAGATACACACACTCAGTACAAGTGTTTGGGGCTTTTTAGACGGATATTATTTTGTAAGACTTTTTAGACTTACAAAATATTTTTTCTTTTCTTTTTAAAATGTACTGTCTAGTTCACTAGAGTCATTATTTAGAACCTAAACCAAACATACAGTATGTTTTAAGTCTGAATAATAATGATATCATATGTTGATATATTGAGGAAAAGAAGGCTCAAAGTAGAACACATTTATAAATTCACTGACCAAAGTACTCCGGAGCTGGACTTTGACCGTCTCTGGGCCTCGAGCCCCTTCCTCTCTTTCTTTGGTACCACGTAGCACTTTCAACTGGTCCTTCTGATCCAAGAGGAAGGAAAAACAAAGCACATCAAGAAATGACTATATTGAATTATTGAGAGATGGCAAACACACAAAATTACGCTTTACGAAATAAGTCAAAAAGCTTAAAATTTACTTTTATGTACTTATCATTGCATTATGTATCATTCATCAGTTCATGACATATAGAAGGGCATGCATCTGAATGTATATGTATGCACAAAGATATGCGAGAGGTTTGTACGTTTTTGTGATTCTAAAGCTCTTCTGCCCTACTTCCAGACGAAAACATCATTTATTTATAGTTTGTTTTAAGAAGACTATTTTCTCCTATCCTGAATGTGTGGACCCGGTAAGATGTTATTAAGTTAAGTAAGTAACAAATCGAGTTGCATTCAAACTGTGGCACCTCCCGTTTTCTTTCCTTCACTTCCAAACAGCTCTGTGTTGATACAGCACCACTCACTTATTTTTAGGTCTCAGAGGTCATACAGTAACTTAACACTGTCTCCACACCACACTAATGACTGCTACGGCTGAATAATAATGACACGTTCAATACAATGTGCATCAAGATTCTTTAAAACAAATGTAACCAAGGAAACAATAGGAACAAAAAACAATTGATAATGAGGCAAACGATGTCCAAAAAATCCTTTACTTCATACCTCTTTCTGAGTGTCTCCTACAGTGATCTTTTCCTGTAGATGAATAAAACAAGATTGTAAATACAGTCAATTGAGTTATTAATAACCGACAACACTCCAATACAATTGAATGTTGTTAGATATTATTCTGGCAGCTATTACTGAGCAATATATTATGCTCACTGAAAAAGAAACACGTGTGTGATACGTACTGTATGATGATGAAAATAAATAAAGAGAGCTCGACTATTTCTCTGCTTTTATATTGTATATTTGATTATACCTCACTAGACCTTTAGTTTAGGACCCTCAGATCTACCCACCCACAGATATAAACAGTATTCAAATGAGAAACATGCATGTTTTTTCACCTGTGTTAGCTGTTGCTGCAGCATGTTGACCTTATCCAGCAGGGCTCTCTGATCCTGTTGGTATTTCCTGAGATTCTCCTGCAGGCCCTCGTTCTGCCTCTCCAAGTCCTGAACAAATGCCCACACACACACACACACAACTATAAACCATACAAATTTGAACCAAGCTAAATCCAATTACTGTCATAAAAATAAGAAATCAATCACTTCTTTATGGACATTGATGCCCTAATGACTCATTCTTAAAAAATAAATGAATAATTGTGATTAATAGGCTGGGAGGCTGAAGTTATACAGCACTTACATGTATGACCTGATCCCTTTGGTTAACCTCAGCTGCCTCTGATTTCTCCACTGAATGCTGAGGAGGAGACAGGATCTTTTTAACGACCATGTTTTAAAGATATAACATTACCATAGGCTATACACACCTTAGTATCAACTCTCACTTTAAATCACTAGATGGCAGTCATGCATACCTGAGCGGCAGTGAGCACATAACATGTTCACAAATTTGCCACAAAATATATTATATAAAATGTGGAAAAAGTGGAAGAACATGCAGAATCTCGAGGCGCCAGGAGTCTAAGCATTTGAATGCTGTAAATGCTGTAAAGAAAGAATTCTAAAGTGTTAATGTCAATAATGGCTTCTGGGTGCAAGCAACCTTGACCTTTGTCATCTTTTAACAAAAGAGACTATAGAATATGTAAAGCATAGAGAATAAAAGCTGATCTTTGATAAAGGTGAGGTTTGATGGATATGGTGCGTCAGTAAGGCTGCAGGTTTACCTGTCGCTTCCACTGTTCCATCTTTGCAGCCTCCTTATCTGGAGAAAGCAAGAAAACAGCAAGTTCAGACTTCCTTCTACGTTTTATCAAGATTGGACAAAAACAGGTATGTTTACAGAGCAGTGTGACAATAAGGAATGCACACAAGAAGGCAAAAAATGCATCAGAAAATATGGTCACAGGAAATAATTGTAAAGGTCAATCCTGTGGCTCAAAATATTGTGAGATATTAAAACTGAAAAGTGTTGAAAACACCTAAAGACATAGAGACATGAAAATAAAAACCCATACAGAATATTGCGACAATATTTAAAATCTGCAAAGACAATCATTCGAAATTCTACCTAAAAAGCAAAACATCCTCAAGGTATTAGCTGTTTTTGCATGCATGTATGATTGTTTCCACATCTTTCCACAAGTGTAATTTTAAGGTACAACACTGCAGATATTATGCTCTCCATCTAAAATCACCTTTCACTATAAACAGAAAATATATACAGATTATCTTTATTAAACAAATGGTGAGTTTAGTTAAAAAAAATACGACTTCAGTGGATTTCAAAACAGCACTTCCTGGGCTACCTATCTACAGGCTACAATTTAAGAAGTTAACCTTCCTTTCTGCTCTACAGGTCTGATCATTTTTTGCTATAATCATGCAAATGTTTTTTTTTTAAACAAACTGCTCCAATACTCTTTTATTTTCTGTCTGACTCTGACCTCTGGTGGATTTGTCCAGGTAACTTTTGACCATCGCAACAAGCTCCATGTTCTTGCTGATGCGAGCGTAGTGGAAAGCGTCGTGACCTAAGCTGTCGACTGCCTTCACGTCAGAGCCGCTCTTCAGCAACACCTCCACTGCATCCTTACAGCTGTACTCGCAGCCCAGGATCAGCGCAGTCCTGAGGGGGTCAACAAACAGAGTTCATGAGGAAAAACATTCACAAACTAGCTATGGAACAAGTTTGTAGCAAAAACAACAATTCACCTTTTATTTTGTTTAAATTATTTAAAGCCGGGCCCTATTTTTCCTGTTTATGTCCCGACTTGGAGTTGTCTTTCTAATTCATTTTTTAAGAATTGTTTTTGTGTTAAAAAAGCTGATGAGAAACAATACCATACACATTGTTGATGATACATTTAGGACATTCTCAGGCACTCGTATGTTTTAAAATGTATGAAATCATGACACAACTGCAATCTATAGAAATGGCTCTAAATAGTGTGACTCTTGGTAAATGTTTGTATTATTTGAAAGATTGTCACTGCATGGCACTCTCCAGGAATGCAAACCTTTGATTATTAAAATTGACATTTGCCAAGCCTTCAGAGACAAACACCACCATGGGGGGGGGGGCTTTCGTACTTGTTCTGTTTGTCGCGGGTGGTGAAGTCGGCCCCTCGCTCCAGCAGGAGCTGACAGATACGTGGATGACACATCTGGGTTGCCAGTACCAGAGGTGTCCTGCCATCCTGGAGAAAAACAAAATACACACGCAGAAATGAACACATGTACACCCATCCACAAAATCACAGGTATGACAGTGCCATCCAAAAAATCAATTTGTAGAAAGGATCACAATAGAGAGTGCTCATTGGAGCTGACTGAATTCGTATTTAGTGAAAAGCTTTGTGTGCCTCTCTAACTGACCTTACATGAAAAGGTAAAAGCCTTTAAGGAGAAGATCAAGATCAATATTCTTTTCTACAATGATAACTGAGCAGGTAAATATCTTAGAAGAGGCCATTACAAAAACTGTGTGAAATGGAGTGTAAAAAATAATAAAATCAATTCTCACAAAATCAGTGGCATTCACAGAAGCGCCGCTGTCACAGAGTAGTTTCACACTGGAGGAGCAGCCAGCCATGACTGTGGGGGAAAAGAGTGAAAACGACTGCAATCACATTTATCGCTGAAATATACATCCATCTATCAGGTCGAGCCACAGCATTGACCAGGTTTATATGCTGAAAATGTGAAAAGCATCACAAGCACATTTTCACATTATTATACCAGAACCTTTTGTGTAAACCTTTTGTTGGCAGATATTATCATCCATGTGAGCATGACATCCTCTCTGCTAAGGGACTGAAAATATAGTTGAAGAGCTGTCGGGGTTTTCAATGATTTTAAATATTCATTACTAAGGTAAGTAAAATAGGGTAAAGTAGTTAATGAGGTAAACATAGGCAGCGACAGGGAGGAGGACGAGGCTGCTGTAGCTACCATTAGTGAGCCATAGCAACGCCAATCAATGTTTGTGGTTTAAGCCCATATATTATATTTTAATGTATAAATCAGAGCATTAACAGTAGTCACTGAAAATCAACAGGGAGAGGCACATAGAGGTTTGCCTCTCTCTCTCTCACTGACTGTCCCTCAGTCCTGTACATCACGTACTGTGTCAGGGCTGTTCTGCACATTGAGATGCACCCTCTAATTTAGTCATAGTCATTTCAAAAGCACAAACATCCATTAGCTTATCCGTGGGGCTTACAATAACAAATTATGTTGTAAGGAGGTTTTGCTGTAGTTGCCTTAAGGAAGCCTTTTTTTCAGAGCACCTGCATTGAAAAGTAAAGCAACTCTGCAGCAACAGCTAAATAAAAAGTGTAGTGGACTCAAGTCAGTACTAAGGTAAAGTAGTATTTGTAGTAGAGTGAAGTTAGAAACTGAAGAGTGGAGTTAGGACTGGGGTAAATTATAGTTCAGTCAGTTTCAGAGTAGAGTCTTACCAGCATCATGTAGAGCTGTTCTTCCTTGTAGGTCCACATTTCCAACTGGACTGTTGTGCTGCAAAATAACAAAGAAAAGTTAGAACAACTGAATCAAATGAAGCAAATTATTTTACTTGTGCTGATACATGTATAGATCCATGAGCAGTGAAAATATATATTGGTAAAATAATCAAGTACAATATTCATTTAACATCCATAGTCCTACTTAAGCATTGGCAGCATTGGCAGCATTGGCTGATTAGTGAAATGATATCATGGAAAGAACATGAAAATTGATGTTCACACAGTAGAGTAAAAAGGCACAGTGCCATTCTTCAAAGCACAAAAAGGCCCCAAATATACATTTTCAGATCCAATTAAATAATGAGTCTACTTGATATGATAGTGTTGATCCACTAGTGGTTGGCCCTCTTCATTATAGCTAATTAGCCAACTCCATAGATCAACAAAAGCAGAGTGGAACATTATTTTGGCGTGATTTGGTTGTTTTTGAGTCATTGACCCTAGGCCTGATTTCCTTTATTCAAAGTTAGAAAAACTAAAAACTATTTAACTACTAAGTGAGGTTGGAGAGCCCAGAACTCTTACAAGGCTGTTTCAATAGAATAACTGACTTTGTGTATCTGCCTCGTGATTGTGTTCCCCTCCAAAATGTAATGGGATCTTTCCTGGCCACACATTTCCACCAAGCTAAAAGCTAAATGAAAATCGGGCCAACATTTTTTCCTTTACCCTGCTGACAGTCAGACAAACAAACAAACCGCAGGGAAAACATCATCTTATTTTAATTAACAATACAATCATTTCAGTGATATGGATCAGATGAATGAAAGACTCTACTCCAAAAAAAGGGAAGACCATGGTTGACTTCTTTTAAAAAAAAGCATTTAATAATTGTTCAATAATGTAGTTGTGAAAGTAAATAATAAATGTTCACAGTGGAGACTGCGAGGCAACAGTGTGCAGGTCACTTTAGGCCAAGTGGCGCTGCGCTGATTTTCTTATGACATCTCTACCCAGGCATTCAGGAGAGTAGGACTGCAGTGATGAGGGTCCGCTATGAAAGCCTTGAGGACTCAATGCTAACGGGGGCCCCATGTTGCTGGGTAGGCTTGGCAGGGAGCTCAGGCCTCCCCTAAAAAAAACCAACTCTCTCCAGCAACAAGGGCCAAAATTGAGCAGTGCTCTCAAATGACAAAGCGCAGAGGAGGGCGGTGTAGAGCAGCAATGGGAGCTGACGGTGGAGCACGGAGGGGGGGGGAGGAGGACATCCTACACCTTGAGGGTTCGGGCTGACGGAGAGAGATAGTGGAGGTGGAGGGTGTTGGCGTCCAGCTGCTATGTCTGGTGTGATGACGGCACCCAGAATGGACGGCAAGTTTGCAGCAGGGCAGGCTTGTCAACACCAGCGACAACCCGCCTGCCAACAGCAGAGACCTCCGTTAGATCACCACCCTGAGAGAGAGAGGTGTGGGCGGGGGAAAGGGCAGCGACGCTGTGAGAGCACAATATTGCAGAGATAGCCCCCTGATTGTAAACACATAAATCCCCCAGAGGGGCACGGTGACTCAACAGGGCCGACTGGTGACCGATACGGAGTGGGCTCAGCTGCCAGAGCTCTATGGCAATAATTATTTAAAGGAGCGGAGAGAGAAACTGCTCTGACTGGCCAGTGACTGGGACGCTGCTCTGCGCAGAATACATACAGTAGAGTACAACACACCAACATGAGGAGCAAAGTGAACAAGCTAGAATAACCACCTTGCGATAAAATGCCTCAGCCAAACAGTAAAGATGCTAAATCTCTCCACCACAATACATTTCCATTATTGTAACCCCTTTTACATTTTTTATAAATTGTCATAATAAGTCTGCATGAGTGGCCAAAAATAGTTTTTTTGAGGTCAAAGCAGCCTTTGATCAACAAAAACAAAAAATCAAGGTGGACCAAATTTGAGGACACTTTTCTCCAGGCGTACTGACAGACGAACATACTCGCAACCAAATAACATGAAGCCAAACACTTTATAAACCAATCAATCCCATACATATGAGATCATATCGTGCAGTTTGGCAAGTTTTTGTTCACAGAAGTATATTTGAGTCGGGTACAAATAGAGATGCACTTTACCTGCAAGAGTTTCTGCACACACAGAGAATGTCCATGTCTTGATGACAGATGGAGAGCATTTTTACCTGAAAGGGATACATGCAGCAATCAGAAAATGAAATAGATTCACAATCAGGAGATGGTTTTGTACGCATTTGTACAAAAAACAATCACTTAACAACCCTTCATAAAGGTGCTTTCAAGTCATAACCGTACTGTGGGAAATCGCACAAACAAAAAGCTACACAGCACGTAAGACCATGCTTGTATCACTTTGACAACTCAATGTTCGTCTAAAATATATTTTTCTTGTAACAAGCAATGTGTGGATCTTTCGGCTGATGCCACACACCTAACCATCATGAGTTTATTGAGTGCATTACTGTTAAACCCCACACCACGAGTATTGATCCCAGTGTGTTGTTTAACAGGCACACTGGGATCACAGAGTCACAGATTGACAAAAATAATGTACAGGACATACACAATACATAATGTACCAGATTAAAATGTACATCAAGCCCATTACTTTTCATGCGTCTGGATATATTCGTATCATTTTGAATAACAAAGTCCATGTCACTGTGACAATAATATTTCTCAGTAGTGCCCAAAACCAGGATTGGATAGTTCATCAACAAAAATGTGCCCTCTCACTAGATTACCATTTGCACATTTCCAGTAACATTTCCAGGGGTGCTCAACCATGCACGTTCATTTCCAATATCTTATCTGAAAGGCTCTTTTGGTCGATCCGTTTCATTTGCTGAAAGTTTACTTGCTGGTATAAAAATCTACGTGTTTATTCACTAGACCGTTGATTTTGAAGAGCTTATTGACATATTTCATTTCATTTATAATATATCATTGGTTTGTATGTCATGCAATTATATTCTGTTCCCAACATGAAATGGATTAGTGTAAATGTAAAAATGAGACCAGAATGCTACCTTTTGAAAGTAGGGATGAGATCACTGCATGTCTCTTTGTCATTATTCAGCCTAATTGCACATCCCCATTAATGAATACAATGCTAATCAGCAATCTGTTTCTTTGAATCAACTACTCAGGCCACTAATAAGACCAATGTTCTATGTATGACATCCTCCTCTCCCTCCTCTTGACAGGAAATGGGGTCTGGCACAAGTACCTTAACCCAGGGGTTCCCAACCTTTATTGTGCCAAGGACCGGCAGATACATTAAAAAAAAATCGCGGACCGGTTGTCAATTTTAACTGATTTTAATATTTACTCACCACCAGCAGGTAGCAACAGAGGCTAATTGTATGTAACAGCCTGAACAAATACTAGAACAATATGCATCCAAAACATATTAACAAAGTTTAAAAAAGAACCGGTGTTGTTTTTTGGTTTTTCGGAAAACCAAAAAACCGACGTTATTCAGTTTTTAAACCAAAACGGGAAAACAGATAAATCAACGTTTTGGTTTTGTTTGTATGATTTACGGATAATCCAGTGAATGCTGGGAAAACGAGGAGAAGGCGCATTATGAAGGAGATGTCCGGTCGCCAGTGTGTGTGTGTGTGTGTGTGTGTGTGTGTGTGTGTGTGTGTGTGTGTGTGTGTGTGTGTGTGTGTGTGTGTGTGTGTGTGTGTGTGTGTGTGTGTGTGTGTGTGTGTCACTGGCATTTGTTTTCAGAAGATATTATGATAGTGTCGTTCGTTCCGGTGCACTCCCGACAGCATAGCACTACATCGAGATTAAGATTAAACTAATTTATTTTGGGAACAGCCGCATATGCCGGTGTCGGACAGACACAAACACACCGAACACACAGAGCTGAGCTGAGCAGAGCACATACACACACACATCATGCGCCTTGGTGACTGACTGGACATATCCTTCATAAAACTAATAAAAGGGGGAGTAATCGGGCAGTTCGATGTGTGTAGATGTGTGTGTGGTTAACACGTAGCAGCCTGCAGTCACTCTTAAACTGTTCTGATTAAGTTAAACACAGCGAAGGCGGTGCGTAAAAAGGCACAGCTCTTTACCGAGTATACGTCCCGCTGCCTCCTGATGCTTCAGCCATTTCATGAAGTGAAGGAGGGTTTCCTTCTATAAAACAGCTGCGGGCAGCAGATACCGTGAGAGTCCCGGACATTAATTCATAGATCAAGGCAGACTGGTTTACTCTCCTGTTTTGCCAATCCGGTGCTTAAACAAATAGCTCTACACTCCTGGCCGACATGTCCTTAAAATGAAGTCCGAGTTTGAAATATATCTCAAATAATGTATGCACCACCATTTCCCCACATAAACATAACAGTCTGCAATCAAACGGTTGTCTCCTGTGCGCTCCTCTTCCTACTTGGCGCACCGGTAACATGCTCGTGCGCACAAGAGGCTGAGACCTTAGGCTGAGCCGCCGAATCCCTCGGAACATCATAAAAGCCATTTTCAACGGTTTTCTGGTGAAAGATTAACTAGCTACTGGATGAAATAATATGACTGGTGGCATAGGTGCGAAAATTAAACACTTTTTGAAAAAAATATTATGATAAAATATTTTTATATATTTATAATTCTGCAAATATTACGATAAACTCACAGCTATTTCGCGGCCCGGCAGTAACACCTCCGCGGCCCGGTACCGGTCCGCGGACCGGGGGTTGGGAACCCCTGCCTTAACCTACCTTAATTTATTATTTGATGATGTGGAAATAACCTTAAGTCTACTCTATGTTGTACAACGTGCACAATGTGGTTTATTTTCACCTATTAAGACTTTGTATGTGGTACAAGTCTAAATAAACTGTCCAATGTTTTTGCTGTTGCTGCTAACTGTTTTAATATTATCGTAAGTGTATCCTTGTTGATATTTTGGGGATCGACAAAATATTAAAAACACATAAAAGTATATAACTAAAGCTCCAGGTTACTGCTTTCATCCAACCTGAACTCACCCGTGGCATCAGTCGCAGTGACATCCACGCTGTGTCCCAGGATGAGGTTAAGACACTCCAGGTGTCCTCGCGTTGCAGCCAAATGAAACCTGCAAAACAAGAAGGATGAAGATGAAGGAATAATGACAGAGGAAATCAGACGGAAGGAGTTGGAAATGAGTATATAGCAAGTAGTAAAGAAGGGCAAGTGAAAAAGCGACAGGGTGTAAAGAGAAGGGGGGTGAGGGTGAGGGTGAAACTTAAGGACAAGAGAGGGACTGGGAAAGGACGCCTGGCTCCTTGCTATCAGCAAGATCAGCATTCTTGAATCAAATAACAAGAAACCTCAGAGTCTGTCGTGACCCCAAGGCGACTAGGAGCTACACACAAACAGCATTGCCAATGTATCAGCTTCCTTGTTTCATAGCCAAGTACTGTCACATGGTAATTAGTGACGACCTGCAAGAAAAGGTTGAACAACTCTTAATCACCCTTTCTGTAACCCCTGTTTGTTTCTATTTGTAAACGTAGACACATTTTACAATTACAAAATGAAAGTGTTCATATCAGTTTTGCCTCAATATCAGCACTCCTCTTTGCATAATGTGATCAAACTAAAAGGTCTGTATTGTAACAAACAAAATGACTCAGCAATACCTAGATATCTTTTACTCACAAGTTATTCATTTCAGTTATTGAATTTGAAACAGGTGTTGAGGCCTTAAAACTTAAGCCAACATTGACAAGAAGTCCTTAACAAAAGAAGAGATTTGAGTATGAGAACTGGACAAACTCTACGTGCTAATGAGGATCAAGTCATTTGAGTGCATGCTTGAGACGAGCTACCAAATTAACCTGGATGTTTGATTGTTAGTTATTTGCCACAAAGTAAGCATAGTCCTTACTTAATTAGGGAGTTTCATACTCTCTATGCGTTTGTCAAAATAACTTTAAACATTACTTTTGCCTGGAAACATTCCCGTTTCCCCTCTTGAACTTAACCCACAGCAGCACTGCCACCCCCGACCATCAAGGTCTGCAGAGCACTTGTGTGTAAACTAATCTCAGTCTGTCACCCATCGAGCTGCATGGACCTGTTTATACACTAACCCCGAGGTATCTGCCAAGGAGACAGCTAGGCTGTCACCTCAACACTGCCGCGGGTATTAAAAGCAGTGTTGATGGCCAGGAGATGCCGGTCCTCTGGGGAGCAGCGAGGGTCCCGACCTCTCTGAGCAAACGGCAGACAGGGAGCCGAGCAGAGCTATCCAAGTTAGGGGGATTTTACAGAGTAATGTCTCTGACAAGAATTAAAAACACATAATGGCAGACTTGAACTATGGGTAAGGGATTTTCTCTCTGACGAATAACAATGATGATCCCTGTGACAGTTAGTGGCACAGCTACCAAGATGTTTAACACTGAAAAGGGATGGTTGTGAACTGTGAAGATATATTCTGCTTACCCAGCTGGATACCTCATTACAATCCTTAGAAAGGAAATGTAAGAGACTAATGAGTCGGGCTTAAGCAGAGCAAATTTATTTTCTTGGACTTATTGTTCGTCACTTTGGATAAAAGTGTCAGCTACATGTAATGTAATTTCATCTTCACACCTGCTCCTTGGGCGACTTTCAGGTTGACAGTCTACAGGAAACAGTTGCTATATTTAGAGAGCATACAGGGAAGAGTAAACTAGAGAGTATGTGCTGGTAGCTGAACCATATACAGTGAATGGTTAAGTGTGTCTCTAAAGGCAAAACAGTTAAATACTGTGGCTGTTGGAGCTTCTCATACTTCTAAATCCTACTCTGTTATTTCTGTCACACTTGACCTTTGGTACACATTGTTTTAAAAAGTCTGCAAGTCTTCTGATGCATTTACGTGCCAGTAGGAAGCCACAACATTTATAATATCTTAGTTGGAAAGCTAAATGCTTGGTTGCAAGATAAACTTTTAAGTAGCATTATTCATTTTTAACAATGTTTTCCAACACATTGTACATTAAAGGTAGGGTAGGTAAGTTTGAGAAACCGGCTCGAGATCGCTAGAATTTGAAAATAGAAAATACACAACCGGAGAAAATCTGCCACTTCCTTATAGAGCCCCTCCTCCAACACACACGAACGCGCACATGACCAATGAGGGCACGAGATAAGTGTGTGCACAGATGGAAGGCTGACAGGCAGGTAGGCCATCCAGTTATTTTAGCCGGGCCGGCTAAAATGATTGGTCGTACTTTTTACAGTACTACAGCTTCCACAGATGACTTTTTTTTATGGATTTTTTGTCAAAGCACTTAAGATATTCATTGCTATCGGGATGTTAAGAGCATTCCATGGAATATAACAAAGAGTGTATCTCGAGGCGGTTTCTCAAACTTACCTACCCTACCTTTAACAGCCACTCAAGTATATTTAAGCACTCTTTATTTTTTTTATCTAAATCAAGAAGAACGACCCCACCCAAAATAAATTAACTAGCCAACTAGTACTGACAGGACACCATTTCACCCCTGGCCTACGACATAACTTAAGCGTTCATTCAGCTCTATGGAAGTGAGACCGAGCTGGCTTACCCCAGCAATTGATTCACTCAACCCCTCCTTCTGCTCCCCAGTGAACTAAAGTCCATTAATGTAGCTTTAAAGAAAACATATTAATCCCCATATCCTTTCAATTAACCCATGTTTTCTGACCTTTTTTTTAAAAAAAAATGTAATTTTTAATAACACAGCATGTTTTGCAGTTGCCTTGAAAATCTATTCTCAAAAGAGCACACAATGAATTTAACATGCGATGGGCGCGCAGCAGTGCCTCTACTCAGGGCCAGTTTCCTGCTGCAGGGACATGTGAGCGGCGGCTTGCTGTGATGTGGACTTCTTTTGCTGCTAAGCCCTTGTCAGCTAGCTATCACCACTGCACAGAATGAGCAGGTGTGATGTGTGGGCTAACCTCACTGGGATCCAGTTAATGCCAGGGCAGATTTGTAAACTGTTTACTCAGCTGGAAGCAGCGATAGAGCAGTTAGAGCTGTATTCATTAGCTGAACACAGTGAGGCTAATCCAGGGCAAACCAAATTATATATTAGGGCTAACGGTTTGTAATTAGTTTCCCCACAGAGGTCCATGATTACAAGGCATTGCCACTCAACATTCCTATGTTGGCTTTTTCAGAGGACAGCTAGCCAACGACACGTGTTGGTCTGTGTGTGGCCCGCTGTACTAAAAGCAGACTTGCTGAGTTGCATTTGCGGTTGTCTTTTGTTTTGGGTAGTCTTGGCAAAAGCGTGACCTCTTTTAATAAATGTTCAATGTGTTGATTTTATAGTTGTGGTCCGCCCTGCAGGGGAACACTAAATGATGTGTGTGCATGTGTTTGTTTACAAAAACCCTTACAGTCACTGGATTTACTTCAGACAAATTCTAGCACCTTATTATGAGACCAGGCATTTATCAGGTTGTGTGTACACATGTATACAATCATTGGTCTGTCCAATGGTGCCACAAGAGAATTCACACACTGCTTAAAATACTCTGCACCTTTGCTTGTGCGCTCTGTGGCTCCATAGTTTTATGCTAACAAAGCCTTTATGAAAATAAATCTGAGGCACAGGCCAGAGTTCTACCAAGGACTTCTTCATATATCTAGGATTAAAGGAGGGCGCCGAGCCTCCCAAAATGCTGGTGTTGGAATCTCGTTACTTTTAGCAATATAACCAGGTAACTGCTTTTTTAAGCAGCTCAATGCAACATTTCACCGATGTATAAATAACAGAACCATAAAAAGAGATCTGTACAGTATAAGATAATTAAATGTTTTGGATCAGCTTTGTTCATGTTTCAGTTAAATGTACCTACTTTTCTACCCACAACTTACATTTCAACCTATTTCAATCTTTCTGTTCTTGTAATGACACTTGATAAGGGGGTGAATCCAGCTCTTAGCAAAGCAAAAACGATTCAAAACCTGAGGTTCCCACTGAAAGATTCTAGCATACAAAATAAGGTTCTTGAAGATATCAATAGATCCTGATAATAGCCTGCAGCTGGGCCAAAATGTATTGCTTTCTGTTTCAAGCCCCACAGTGGCTCAGATTTGAACTAACAGGGAGTCATTTCCTGTTGGGACTACATAAACAGCCTCAAGCCAATGTGCTCCAGCCTTCAGCGGCCACAAACATTCTTTATGCCAGCTCCCACACTGACCTCTAGTCAGATGGACACCAAAAGAGAAACTTCAGGACATAATAATGGACACATGATAATATGCATCTGCAATGCCTTCCAGATGCAGAGCAGCTGGGTGAAGGTTTGAGTCTGAAATGTGCATGGGGGTCAGTTCAGCCAAGGGAAATGTTGGGTCATGCAGGGTGACTTTTATGCCAGAGGGCAAACAGTTTTTGCGCAAAAGATTCTAGAGAAATGTCCATCTAAGGATGCTTCATCTGAGTAACAGGGGTGGGAATGTGCTGCGGGAAGACCACAACAATGTTTGGAATTTGTGACATTCAGCATTTTTAGATTTCGAAATATTAAAACATTTATAGTTAGTAACAATCAAGACAAAACAATGTATGTAGACACACTGAACATGTATGTGCTTATGTATGTTTGTATACTCTAGATGTGTGTGTGTCCGTGTTTACTCACGCTGAGCGCCCTTCCACGTCGAGCTTGGTTGGGATGATGCCCTTCTTGCTGAGAACAGCAGCCACCTTGTCCAACTCTCTGCGCTCCACGGCCTTCATCAGCCGGTCATCATACTTGTTCCAGTCTGTGTTCTGACAATGAGGAAAGTGAACTATCAGACACACAGTATTTTTGACAGTATTTACCAAATCGAACAGTTAAACAAATATTTGTCCAAATACCTGCTTAATTTAAAAAAAGAAAGTCATAACTATAATTTGGTTCCCAGTCATTTTGGCTTACTAATAAATACAACAGGGACATATGCTTAGGAAGTCTATTTGTGACTTAAAGACAACATACATACCAGTAATGTCATTTGTCCTTTTGTAGTACAATAATAGACCCAAGTTAATGCAGAATAAGCCAAGAATGTGCTGTGCTGCAGTTCCACTATCCCCCTCCCTGAGTGATGGCTGCTAAGCATGGGAACAGAGTACTTTTAGGGCTTCTGGGAGGTACACTTTAAGTATGGAGTCTTAAACAGGACGTCAAATGAACAGAAACACAAGAACACATTTTAAACCTAACTGATAAGCATTTGTATGTACATAGCACCATCGCACACATAGGCAATAAGAACATATTTAAACCATAGATATATGACAGCACTCACAATATACTGTATATACTAAAAGTACTCTTTTGTTATCACAAAACATTCATGTAAATCCATTTGTAGACAAAGCATGAAATCAGAAGAAAGAGTAACAATACAAATAAATCACGGTGACAAACTTAAATACTGACAATGAATACCTACAAAGTGCATGGAGGTGCATTTCAGCCAGCGGCTCATCTTGGGTGAGTGGAGCTGGTCCTTGCACCGTGCTACTGAAAAGGTCGCCACTGTTGCGGTTAACGAAAGCAAAAATAGAGAGAAAAAAGTGTATAAAAAATCCCCTCAGTCTCTCAGTGCACTCAACCAGTGAGTGCACTAAAAAAGAAAGAGAAGACAGAAGGGTGACAGTCTACTGCTGTGGAGGTTCAACCTCTGGAGTTTCCCTCAGTTGAGGAACAAAAGTTCATTTGGCAGGATTTTCTAAGCATTCCTGTGTTTCTCACGGGCTCAGCCTGAGAGTTCATCACTGCACAGCAGTGTGGTTGATGGTTAAAGGGAGGAGAGAGAGGAGTGAGAGGAGGAAGGAATGGAGGTGGAGAAGCAGTAGGGCCAGCCCTGCCAGCCCTGGGACCTGCCCTGGCCGGCAACTGCAACTCCTCCTCGGGGGGGAAAGTCAGCTCAGCCTGGCTACCTCTTGCCTCCCCCAAGTGCCTCCCCCTCTATTCTCGCCTTTATCCTCAAACCTTGGGTTCAACTCTTCTTTTGTTTTTCTATGTCTTCCTCTTCTTCTCTGGGTTGTTTTCTATCTGTAAAAGCTGCAACCTACTAGCGTCAACGTAGCAACTAAAAAACTCTCTTCCTCTTCTCTATGAGTGGTCTCCAGCGTCTTCACCCACCAAATGGCAAGTCAGTCAGGCTCACTGGGGTAAATATGTAAGCTCTCGCAGGTTTAAAATATCACCCCCTCCCCGGTAAACAACGGTGGTGCAGACAGCCCTGCAGACTGGTTACCTCTTTATTTTTTGACCCTCCAACCTTTATGTAGTGACTGATAGGAAGACAGGGGCTAAGAATACATTCTGGACATGCCTGCACTGTGAGTAATGGCTTTAGTGTCTCTCACCACAGCCAGCATGAAACAAGGCCAGTCAAAAAGACCTTGCTTACATTGCCACCCCCCACTGTGCACCCAGTTTGCCTCCATCTGAAAATATTAATGTCAGAGGGGGATTATGGTTTGCACATTTGAAGTGGTCTCGGCAGTGACCCTCACAGGACGCCAGCGGGGCCAAGTGCTGCTGTTAACCCATCCATCTAAAGAGGGTGGTGGGGCTACAAAGCCCCCTGATCCTAGCTGCACAGGAGCAAGGCTAGATGTCAGACTTTTTACAACCAGCTGTCTGCAGCCCCACCAAAAACTACAACTACCCTGTCTCTTCATTTACGCTAATATCCACACACACTTTAATAGCACAACCTTTTACTTTTTTAGGTAAACAACCCAGAAACAAACAGGTACAGATACAGCCAGGAACGGGTTATTTTACCGCCTGCATCAGCTCCCTGTAGCCTCGTGTTACTGTCTGCTGCCAGACTGGCGTTAACAGAGCGGCACTGATCCACTAACATGCAAAAAGACCTTCTCCGCATGACATGTCATATGAAGAAGTAGGTCTCAACTTACGAAAGCTGCTCGCCCTAGCATAGAGACAAAGGCGCCAAAATGGCACCTAGCCACGCAGCATGCTGGACATTGGTCCCTTAAATATCTCACATGGGTGTGTTGGTGTGTACGTGTGCCTATTTGTTTGGGAATCTAGTTAGCAGGCAAGAGTGAACACTGCAGTAGTAACTCACTTACCGACACAATCATACATACGTATATGCTTGTTGGTATAGCTTGATAATTGGTGCCTTCATAAAATATGTGGTCATAGCTATTTGTAAGTTTTGTTTTTACTCAGAGTAGTTAAATGATCTAAACTTAAATCACGTAACTGCAGCCTTTAAGAGCAGGAAAGATGATGACGAGAACACATGACGATATCTAGTTTCATATCATGACGTAAATGTATCTCCCTGCTTGACTTTCATATGCTGGAGTAATGCCAAGAAATGTAAGCACATGAATATGTGTAAAGTTTATTTTAGGTGACTGAGTTCAACAACATTTAATCTAAGTTGTGTAAGGCTAAAAAAGCCTGTCTTACAATAAATATTTTGGTAAATATGTTCATTGTTTTGTGAGTTTAAAAGTCACCTAAATATTTAAAAAGGAATGATGGTATAATATTAGTGGATTATGAAAATGAAATCGGTAGACCGCATTCCCATGGGCTAACATCTGAGATGTTCAGCAGCAGGAACAAAAGAAGGTTTACAAGGACCATAGTTCAGTCGGTTCATGCTATTATTTTCTAATTTGCACCAAACAGGAAGTACAGGTGAGGCTGATGAGAATGTAATGTCCCTCTGGGAACATGGACCAAATTTGGGAAATGTAGAGATATTACGTTGTTTTCGACGGAAGTGAACCAGCCATCCAATTAACCTTGCCATCACTAATGCCACACTGGTAGAGAGGCTTCAAAAAAAGAGAGGGGCTGTTATATGCAGAGAAATAAAATAGAAAATGTAATATGCTGCATTTGTGAACAAATGCAGCATATTACAATAATAATTGGCTAATTCAAAAACAGGCTGTCCTGAAATTTGACCTTCCCCTGAGTCAATTGCATCATAAGTTGTTGACGTCGATGCAGAGCAGTCATCCCTTGCTGCGTGCAACTGAAACAAACACATTACCTAAAGCATCTATTTAGACACAGTGACCTTCAGGACAAAACATCAGCTGACACTTGATGAGCCAGTTTAGACTTCTACCTGTCCACACAGATTATTTTGGGTGTCAGATAGAGACTGTTGTCATCCTGAGGTTTTCCATCACTGTCTGCAGACTGTAACTCTTTCCAACACCTCAGTTTCCTGCCTCGCTCAGACCCCCCGCAAGACTAATGGCCCTCTAATGTCCTCCCAGATGAAATCATCAGCAGGAAATATCAAACTGGTCATCTGATAACAGCCCAGAGCAAAGCCAAAACATAAAGCTGTATGCCAATATGTCAAGTAGTAGTGGTGTCCAATGCCAAACTACTAATGTGGTTTCATAAGCTTATGGTAATGACGATGTTTATGATCTTAGGAGACATCTGTGAAGAGACGTTATGTCATGAAATGAAATCCTTTGACATTTGCAGTGAGGGGGTGGGGGGGATAGGTATCTAGAAGTACAGACCATTTACAGTACTTATTTTTAAGATAAGTACTTTACATTGGATCAAACCTAATTTGCCTGAAGGACAAGTTCTTAACTCTTTGTGTTCATATTGGCCACTAAGGGGCTGCCATGAGGAAGATAACCAAGTCCTGGTTTTGTGAAAGATGCAATGAGAAGGTAATCTAAAGCTAATATGAGATTTCAGCAAATCAAGGTGTCTTTCAAATGTAAAAGTTTTTAGCACCACTTTCTGTGATTTGACTACACAATTCCCTTAACAACAGATGAGCAAGAAACACTATCTGTGGAAAAACAAGGATGGAGATTAATACGACAAAGACTTGACAATACCTCCTTAATAAACAATACCTCCTTAATAAACAATACCTCCTTAATTAAAAAAAACCCAGGACTGTAGACATCCTCTCCCAGACCCTTATCTATTACATTTTAGTCATGCTTGAAAGAGATAATTTCATGGCCAGAGTTGAAGAGAAATTATTACAGCGACCAATAATTCTTACATTGTGCATACAGGCGTAGGATTGTTGTCAGGCAGGCTTTGCAGCTCTGAATCCTTTAATGCCTATTTTGGTGTGATGATGCACACTAAACTGCTTAATTTGGATTCTTAAAACTCCAAATGACACAGCATGCCATTACTATCAAATTATAATTATATTTTGTCCATTGTTATTCAAATGTTACACAACTACAACATTAGATGTAGAACATGGCTCTGTTACCACAGTGTCATATTAAAGGGGACCTATCATGCAAAATGCACTTTTGTACGTCTTTTATACATGAATATGTGTCCCCGGTGTTCCAGGGAACTCACCAAGTGTCAGAAAACACAACCCTCTCCATTTTCCTCCATACCCAAATCTCTAAAAAAGGGGCTGCAACGGATCTGATACAGACTGATCCAGATTTGCCTCCCCGAGGCAAGCGTTTGCTCCCGCTGCTTTAATTCAATGCAATCCCTCCCCGTCGAGGCAAGCACTGTAATTCTCTCCGGTTAGTCCACCAGCAGATGACAAACACCCACCTCTCCGCCTCTTCCAAGGAACGAGGGGACCGTGCGGCAGAGTTTCAGTTTCAGTTTCTTTCGCCGGTCAAGATGTCTGTTAAAGTTTAAATCTTCCGGACAAAATGAGAAAAGTGCCGGTCAAAGGTCTTCTTTGTTATTTATTGAGCTTTAAAATAAATGAATAACGACTCTATAGGCCTATAATAATATAATAAAACCA